GAGATAAAGAAATTATTTTTCCATTTTCTACTCACAAAAGTACTACGTCTCAAATTCGATTAGGGAGTGAAATTCTCTCGTTTCGTGGACGCGGATTAGCGACAATGATCTTCCACACATTCGTTTTTTAGTAGTGCAGACGTTATTGTATGTTTACATTTTTTTTCAAAATTATTCGTTTGACAAGATCTCATTGTCAAAATATATATTTATAAATCCATTGTAAAAAACAAATCAGAGATGGATGGAGATGGAGTTGGAAACCTAGTTTTCATGCAGTGAAATTTGACATGGTAAATTACAGAAAATGCAGATTTGTGTATGCTTATTTGAAATGACACCTTCTTAATTTTACCATAGTCTGCAGCTGTGGATAAAAAAACCCATACTTACAAATAAGGCAACGGAATGACGAAAACTAAAAAAAAAATACTCGACATAAGTAGAACCTTGTCGGCTTCTAGCGTATTTTACTCCAATTTTTCGAGAGATACAAAAAAGAATATACTCGATATCTTTTTTTCTCGCAAGAGTGCTCTCGTTCGAATTTGAGAGAGTTTCACTCCTTACTCGTATTCGAGGAACCCTCTCGGAACTTTGCTTGCAATACATTCTGTTGTTTTTTCTTCTTGGATTTAGTACAAGATCCCGCACCCTTCCGCAGCATTATCGAAAACTGTTTGCTACTACACACACTCAAATCAATAAAAAACTATTTAACATTTCTGAGAGAAATATCTTATATATAAACATTTCTGGGATCGATGAAGATGTCGATATATTGTCGGATACAGATTGGTTCCACTCTAACATCATAATGAGTCTTCAAAAGATTGAGCTGCCTGTCACTGTGAGTGAGTACTTGGCTATCATCATAATTTTTATAATTTTAGTAAAATTGTAAATGCTAAAATGCTCATACTTCCCCTCGCATTGTTGGCCACTTGCCGGTCCCATTCATTTATGTTGTCCAAATTTGTCATAATATATTTACCCGTAGAAATAATGTTCATCAATGTCATAGTCTCGTGCCAAAGTGTATTTTTGTTGTTTATGTAGGTGTGTCACTGTCATCGTGAGTACACATTTGCGTGTGTATGTGTCTTTGTGCGTTGTCACAGACATTTGCGTATCCTTTCGATTTTCATGAATGGTTTTCATCACTTCATTTGTTTACAACTGTAACGGTTGGTACGTGTGCCGGGGCGTGGAGGAGCAGTTCAGGGTTAAGTTATGGTAAATCTCTGAGCACAACAACATTGTCACTGTGGTTAGTAAGTTCAGTCAGTCACTCGGTCCATAGGTCGAAGATCTAGTGTTAATAATGACGATGCTGTGACTGTTGCTGCATAATTAAAATCTCCGTCTTCTTTTCAGGATTTTCCATTGATGTTTCTACGCTACTATGTGTGTGTTTGTTTGTGTGTGTGGCTGATGCTGATGTCGCTATTTAATGTCCTTTTTGTCAGGCATTTCGGTGTCGGTGTTCATATCGTCTGGCTTCATATTCTTTTGTGGGACAAAACACATTCTATCGTTACGTTTCCATGAAAATTCATTTGTATTTTTGGGGGGAAAAACGATAACAAATAAAAATTCAATAGAAAAATAGAAACTCTCCAAAAAAGGTCAATTGTATTTCATTGGCAAGAAATTACATTTCTAGATTTACATGTAAAAAATTTGAAATAGTTGGGGTATTTTGATTCACTTGAGAATTCTTGGGGTTTGATTGGTTTTTGTTTTTTTCTACTAGGAAAATACATCAATCGTACCACTATTGAATCGATAAGATTAGCAATATACTAGTATTGAGTTTTGCGAATTTATTTATTTATTTATTTATTGCTCTGTTGAATTTAGAAAGCTATGCGGAGTTAGCCAAACATTCCATATTTTTAATATAATTTGCTGATTTCTGTAGTATTTCCCGAACATGACCATGTTGAGATTTTTGATTCCTTATCCTGCCAATTGACAACCTCAGACACCCTTAGGTATAGAAGGTCTACCCATGGCTCTGTAATTGTACCATGGGTCTAGAGAAGTCAGCTTTATCAATGACAAAAAATTAAATGCATTTTTGAGCCGTCAATGGAGTGAGTGCCATATAAAAACCTTAGACCATATAGATAATTCCCTACCAGAGGGGTTGGTATCCATTACGAACATCAAACAATTCTATTAAAAAATGTGTATAAAATCATCCAAATACCGAATATCGTGAGCTTAACTTTAAAATGGGGTCTATATCACCAGCATAGTCAATTAACTCCCACAGAGGGTGGGACCTCAATTGTTTCTTTCTATTTTTCAACATGCAGTGGACAGGTCTCCAATATTAGGTGTGTCTGGTTAATTTTCCTGCAGGAATTCTCCAGCAACATCTATCTGAGAGAGTAAGGTAGTTTTATTCTCTTTCGCAAGGAAAATGCGAAAAGTAAATAGACGGCATTCCTGCAGAAGCTTGTAACTAATCAGCTGATTTGTCAAAACAAACAAATTTGTCCCCCATTAAAAGAATGAAAAGAAAGGAACCACCACCAATTTTACAAGTTTTATAAATAAAAAGGAAATTAGCAATAACATAAAAATATGAGCAACGAAAGAAAGATAGATTTTATGTGTTCCCCAGAATCCTTTAAACGTCTTTTATTTTCTTATTACATATTAATGTTTACGTTTTTCACATTTTGTAAATTAATTCTCCAAAAACAAAAAGAAATAAACAAACAATAGAAAACATCTGATTGAATGTCGATGAATGCGAAGAAGATGAGTTACAAGTGATTGCAAGAAGAAATTCATCCAGCAAGAATTTGCAAACTCTCATTGAAAGAACTGTCAAAATTTCTCTCTCCAACCGCTCTCTTTTGCAAACTTTCGGGTTAACAGACGACTTCCAGTAACAATTTGTAACAATTGTTACAAATTTTAGGGTAACCACACACCTATTTTTCAGCAATCACACTACAGGGTGAGATGAAAAAACTGCAACTATCTTCAGACTGCTGTCATTTCTAAACCACTCTTCCGACAGCTGTTAAAATTATTCCAGTGACAGCCCATTATATTGTTTACAAGCGTACAAAAGCATTTTGGTGAGAATTTTCCAGAAAAAAGTAATTCGTAATGGAATTCAAGCGTAAAAGTGTGATTTCTTTATATTTGGCTGGAAAAACACAAGTGGCTATCATTAGAGCACTATAGCATTTAAATGTGAATAAATCTTTTGTGCCTCATACCATCGCTCGTTACCGTGATACTGGTAGCGTTGCCCGACATCAAGGATGTGGACGGAAGAAAACAGCAACATCAGCAGAAATGGTTCGATATGTAAAGAAGCTACTTGATCGAAACCCGCGTAGCAGTGGCCGAAAAATGGCTCATGAGCTGAACATATCGCAATATTCCATTCGGCAAATATTGAAAAACTAGTTCTGGACAAAGCCATTGAAATTCCAAAAAGTGCAAGAACTTACACCGCAACAGAAAGAAAATAGACCCAAAAGAACTAAAGAGTTGCTTCGCTTTGCTGAAAGTGGTGAACTGTCGAATTTGGGTTTCTCCGACGAGAAAACATTCGTTGTCCAGCAGTCTGTAAACAAACAAAATGATCGCGTTTACTTGCCAAAGAGGTCAGCTGAGGTCAGTTCAAGCGCCGGCCATAGTGATGGTGTGGGCCGCCATAACAGCCGATGGTGGCTCTCCGCTCTCATCAATCGACCGTGGCATCAGAATAAATGCCGAATATTACCGCGAAAATATTCTGGAGGGTGTATTGAAGCCTTAGGCACACAAACATTTTGGCCGCGAACTTGGACATTCCAACAGGACTCAGCACCATCGCACTCAGCACACGCCACCCAAGAATGGTTACAAAATGAGGCTCCTTGCTTCATTTGCAGAGCACAATGGCCACCAAAATCTCTGGATACCAATCCTTTGGACTATTGTGTGTGGAGCATTTTGGAAAGCAAGGTTGGCAATAAAAAATACCAAAGTGTCGATCACCTTACGCAAGCGCATCGCCGGGAATGGGCAGAGCAACATTCGGGCAGAGTGTGGCGGATTCATTGGCAAAGGTTACCAATTTAAAACAAAATGTAGAAATTATGACGTTTGACTTTGTTGCAGTTTTTTATCTCACCCTGTATTTTCTTGGAATTTGACTCTGAACAGCGTTCCGGCTTCATCTGTATGGTTGCGATCCGTCTTCGTCAAGTTGAATCCGAACCTGCATTCTCTCACTTCGAACATTAGGGGGCTGACAAAAAGTCAAGAGTTTCCAGACGAGAGTTAGTGCCATCTCTTCGCTTAAAGCTTCCATTGGACATCAGATTCTTTCTGATCTTATTACGAAACAGGCACGTCAGCTCTTTCTATCTACTCAACGAAACCAGCCCATGCGTTACTTTAAGTCTTCCTGATATGCAAATATCTTGAATCCTTGCTAGGTACTTAATCTAGCTTTCCTTTGCTGCTATTATTTTCTCAGATACGAGTTGCATATTCTACTACACTGCAAGTAACTTCCAACATGAAAAAGTTTATGAATATTTTCATTTCCTTTCCTTTCCTAGATATATTACATGCTCTTACCTTTTTCCAATTTGGAAGAGTAATGTGGGAGTAAATTCCATTGATTGGTCCAATAAAGAAAGAATCATTCGATATAGCCTTTTCCAAACTTTCTCGAACTCTTTTAATTTAACCAAATCTTCCTCACTTCCGCATCTGCTGCCCTGAAAAAACTATAATCCCAACAAATTTGTTGCAATAGCTGAGTGCTCCTCTATATTCTTCGGCATCTCCCAAGCTTCACTTCTCTTAGGCTTTCCTGACATTGAAACATTTGTTTAACTCGCATCTTTGAATTATATTTTGAGCTTTTAGTATCCACAAACTGTGAATTCGCCCATCAGTGGATGAAAATCATAGCAGTGGGACCTGACATGACCAAATACTTTTCTGGGTACCAATTGAAAACAATGTCTGTATTTGATTACTTGCTGTTAGCTAAAGTCATTTTAAATATTCTTTATTTTTAGACTTAAACAATTGAACACTAGTCTTAACAATTATAAACCGGAAGATTTTAAGAATTGTAGTAATAATATAAATATTTAATTAAAATTGCATTTCCATTTTTGCTTTCTTTTATCGATTTTATTTACGTTTTATGCCACCCAAGGTTTTAATGCCAGTCATTTGGGGAACTTTTGCGGCTGCCTTTTTGGCTTCTTCAATGGCATGTAAGACACGACGCGGCTCGGTTAAAAACCAGATCCACAGCAATTGGCTATAACGCCACAATTTGTCCTTTTCCTGATATTCAAAAGCAAACAAAAGTATTAGAAATATATTTCAGGCGTAAATAGAGATCAATGAAATGTCTTTTCATTTTTTTAATCTATAAGGAATGATGCCATTTTTCATCCTCCCCCTTCCCAAACTTACCAAACGTTCGGTTACATTCTCATGAAATTCTGTACGTAATTGCCTTAAATGTTTCTCGATACGATATTGTTGAGTTTTAACATTAAAAATTGGTCTTAAATAGTGGACATTTTCAAACATGGGGGCATTAACCGGACTGTCATAAACAAAAGGACGTAAAATGCTTTCAATGCGATTACTAAAAACAAAAAGACGACAAAAACCCAATACATTAACATAATTAATAGCACTAAAAGCATTTGCAATAAACAAATACAACAACATACATTTCTTTAAACTTTTCCATGGCCGAAGAATATGGTTTACGATTCAATAATCCTTGTAGTGCATAAGCCATTAAACGTTTAAACTTTTCATACTCATAGAGGCATGCCTTCACCTCACAACGTAGCTGCTGTTGCAAATGTTGAGCCAACATTTGGCTCAGTTGCTGGATAAATTCAGTTGTTAAACCTTGAGATTGGGAATTTTTCATATATTGTATACGCATGGCACAGCGTTGTGAATCACTGGTTAATTGTTCTGTATTGTCGAAACGATTACGTTTCTTTTCCATATCCATTTGTATGGTCATCCATATTAGCTCAGCATTAGACAATGCTTCGGAAATAATTTTTCTAAGATTACGATCATTTTCGTGGCGTTTTAGTGCCCTCTCCAATTTTTGTTTTGTATTTTCATAGAGTATCAACTCGACAGTTTGTTGAGCCTTCTGCTGCACCTGGTGTTGTAGATCAACCATTAACGTTTGATGGGCAATTTCCAAACGAGATTTGGCCTGAGCCAATTCATGAGTTTCTCTTTCCATATCGGAAAGACTGATGACATGGATTTGTGTGAGATTCAAGGCATCAATGGCACATCTCAGGGCATGACTTTTGGCCTTTTCCATTACATAGGCTAGAGTATATTGTTCAATGCTGCAAAGAAAAAAAGGAAAGCATGTGAATAAAATATATTTTGAGTTTTTCAAATAATATCTGACAAGAGATATCTGTAAAATAGTTTCAATAATATTCAAAGTTTCAAGTTATATATATTTGAAACTTAATTCATATATCAGGTGAATTCTTTCTGACAAACGTCACCGCAGTGGTCTACGAAGTATATAATAATTTGTATGTATCCTTTGGATGTCCCCCAGTTCGAACTGTTGCAATATTGCGGACTAGACATATTTGACAATGACCCTAAGATTTTGGTGTAAGTAGTGCTTGAGATTGTTTATCCATCAATCTGCACATTCAATAGGTAAATATTCCTCACACATACTGAGATACGACCATTGCAAAGTTTTTTTTTTTATTAATTATAGAGGACGGGGACTATATCTAAAGCTAGGAGGAGTAATTGGTTAAACCTTTCCTTTCAAGAAAAAAATTTAATTCGGCCGATTCGATCATCTATAACAACCTTGCCTGCTTATTTGCCAGTATTAGAACTTTGATAATATACTGTCAGATCACCATTAAAATTAAGCTTGTTATTGTTGTAGCAACCCGTACTGCTATGTTCATTGTGATTATATTTTCTGTAATCTGGTTCGGCTTCTAACTCAAGTTCTAAAAGGAGATCGTCCATGAACATTGTGGTTGTTGTTGAAACAGAGATATATTTTGCATCCTCTCTGCTAACCTGGCTCCAACTCCAAGTCCAAGAATTCAGATAACTTTGCTGACTGCAGTCAAATATCTACAGAAGTGAGTCGGGTATATTTGGCATGGCAATTGAAGATCGGCATCGTATTGTGCGGGCCTGTATCGCACGCTGGACACATCTCCATCAAATCGTGTCCTATACTAATTGAGACAGCTGCCCAACCGGAATGTAGTTGGGCCAAAACTACCCTGCTTTGTCTAGGCAATGGATGGTGGTGGACACAGACGACGACATTTATATTATAGATGCATCAGTACCAATGCCACTCATCTGCCCGATAGGCTTCTTGATCTACAGGCTATCTCCTATAGCTTTGAACGTGGTTTGGATGGCTTCAAACTCCAAGGAGGTGTTAGAACTAGAACAAAAGCATATGATTATGCTGACGTACGGGGAGAACCTTTGCCTCCTCATGTGGATGGTCCACCGATATATTGCATTCTGACAGATCTAGATATTTCTCCACTGCGTAGCTCTTATATTCGCACCACACTGGGTACGCATATCTCATCACAGACCGACCTATAGCGTTATAAAACTATGTTTCCTTGTTTACGCCCCAAGCTCTGCCTCCTAGCGCCATTAGGACCTTGTTCCTACTTTTTAAATTATCACAGATAGCTGTGACACATGCGGACGACTTTTACATTCAGCATCATCATTTACTTTTTTGCAGTATTAGCGATCTGGAAATAGACATTTACTTCTCTGCCTTAGACTCACCCTTTCTTTAATTTCCCCAATTTCTCGATCGTTTCTTGGTTTTCTGTTAGACTTGTTTCGAGTTCGATAAATTCTTGGATTTTGAAATTTTCCTTAATATAAAGGGAAAAGTATTGGGTAAATGATTCACACTTCAAAAAGTATTGATCCAAAGGCAGCTGGTGCATGAACAAAGGTGGGGATTGCTAGACGTGTTGAACAGTTTGAAGTTAGTAATCAGAACATTGCAAAAACTTCGTATTATTTACCATTTTTGAAAATGTCTTCAAGACCTCTTCACATTTTTTATGATTTTCCATTTCCATGTCTTCCAGTTGTTTGGCCTTTGCCTGGCATTGTGACAATAAGTCTTTTTCTTTGTTTTTCAACGTATTAAAACGCTCTTCCAAGCGGCTAAATTCACAATTTAAAAGATGTTTTGTTTCTCTAAAAAAAAAGATATTAAAGAATTTATTTCAAAAACACATTATTTTAAAGCTCTCCCTACCTCATATCCTCCACCATAGTATTGTAATCGTTGTATGCCATTTCCATAATGTCATAGTCCTGTTGCAAATTATCCACCTCATCCTTGGTGTGCGAAAACAATCCCATATATTCCTTTTCCAAATCATCCAGACGTGGCTTCCTTTCCACCGCTCCCAAATACTCATTGCGCTTCACATATTCTTCGTGATCCAAAATCTCAGTCTCCAATAGAATATTTGAATCCGTAATATTATTTGCAAAGAAATCAAAGAATTTGTGGAAACGTTCATCGTAGAATATCCACTGATTGGAAGAGTCAAAGTCCAGCTTTTTAAAAACTTCCATATTCTAAAAAAAACACAGAATATTTACTCGGTTATTTAGATATAAAGTTGTATTTTCTTTATTTATTGTGTTTACATTTATAATATCACCCATTTTTATATAAATATATTGACTTTGTTTGAAAAAGTGCAAAATTGGGTGGCGCGGTGCGCTGAAAATTTAAAAACAAAACATCAAACCCAATTGTCAAATGTCAGTTGTTGTTTACATTTGATCTCATTGATGCCACTTTGCTCAACTGAGGCATGCATGTGTAATATCGCCGATTTATAGATTGTTTACACGGCTATATTCATGGTAGATTCATATTAATTCATATTCATTGTTCAAGAATCCTTTTATTAAACGTCAATTAAAATTTATATTCTCATAAACTCATGATCAAAATTTATATTTATAAATCCATACATATACACACAAATCAGAGATGGGAACCTGTTTTTTATTCAATGAAATTTGACAAGGTAAATTACAAAAAATGCAGAGATGGATAGTCTTATTTGAAATGACTTTTGGGTGAGATAAAAAATCTGCAACAAATTTAAAAGGCCATAATTTTTACATTTTTTTTTAAATTTTATTGAATGAAAGCAAAAAATGTCGAAAATAGCATCAAATTTCAGAATAAGTTTAGATTTGTTCAAATTGGTCACCTTTGGCACGAATTATGGCCTTTAAACGGCCAATAAAACCGTCACACGCTGTCCAAATATTGCTCTGCGGTATTTTGGTCCATTTCTGGCAATGCGCTTATTTGAGGTGATCGACACTTTGGTATTTGATAGTGCCAACCTTGCTTTACAAAATACTCCAGACACAATAGTCCAACGGATTGGTATCCGGAGATTTTGGTCATTGTGCGCTGGAAATGAAGCGCGAAATTGCCAACCGAAGGTGCACATTTTCAGCTGACCTCTTTGACAAGTAAAGACGATCATTTTGCTTGTTTACAAACTGCTGGACAACGAATGTTTTCTCATCGGAGAAAACCAAATTCGGCAGTTCACCACTTTCGGCCAAGCAAAGCAACTCTTTAGCTCTTTTGAGTTCAATTTTCTTTCTGCTGCTGTGTAAGTTATTGCACTTTTTGGAATTTCAATGTTTTTTTTTCAATATTTGCGAATGGAATATTGCGATATGTTCAGCTCATGAGCCATTTTTGGCCACTGCGACGAGGGTTTCGATCAAGTCGCTTCTTTACTTTTCAAACCATTTCTGCTGATGTTGCTGTTTTCTTCCGTCCATTATCGCGGTAACGAGCGATGGTACGAGACACAAAAGCTTTATTTACATTTAAATGCTGGAGTGCCACGATAGTGGTTTTCCAGCCAAATATAAAGAAATCACACTATCACGCTTGAACTCCATCACGAATAACTTTTTTTCTGGAAAATTCTTACCAAAAAGGTTTTGTACGCTTGTAAACAATATAATGAGCTGTCACTGGAATAATTTTAACAGCTGTCGGACGAGTGGCTTTGAAATGACAGCAGTCTGAAGTTGGTTGCAGTTTTTCATCTCACCCTGTATACGTGGAAAATTGGCCAAAAATTTATTTTTGTAAGGAAGAAGATTTCTGAACTATGTAATTTTTTCTTCGGGTTTCGCCTCCAAAAACCGATCTGCAGTCTTTAATTTTTTTTAAGTTTTTATATACGACACCAATCGGAGGTTGTTATGACATGCATTTTTCTACAATTTTTAAAAAATTGAATGATTTGAATTATTTTTCCATTGATGCGACTAGCTGTATTCTTCCGCCATGGCATGGTCAAAAATTGTTGAAAAAGCGTATTATAATAACTTCCGAATGACGTCGTATAAGATAACATATAAAAATCTACATATATTTGAAAACACATTTAAATTTTTTTGACATACATATCAATGTTCCCAAGCGTTGATGCTCTACCATGGTATGTAGATTCCACACCGGATTAAGAATTAAAACGGTAGTGCCAATGTTGTATCTAAACTTTGATTGTCAACCTTTCTTCAGAAATAACTGTTTTCTATATTATTGAAAGCAATGAACAGATTTATAAAAACTGTTTGTATGATTAGACAAAATAGGGCGCCAGACTTGTTACATTTTTGCTTGTTTGACAACCTGATATTTCTAAAACCGTTCATGTGAGAACATTGTATAACTTCATATCGTTGATGTGGCCGATATTACACCAAACATATGATTGTTTGGTTATTTAAAAAAGGTAGCATAAATAAGTACTAAATTATACAACCCTACACAAACAATCCGTGCAATGACAAGTAATTTTCAGCAAAAGTCAGTCCAAACTGTTTTTGCCGATTTTTTAATAAGCTGCATTAATTTACTGAAATAGCCTTCAAAGAATTAAAATAAACAAATATGGTAAGTATTGGAGCTATTTACTGCACCAGATGTGTTTTTGTTATAAAAAGTATGGCATATTTGCTATGTTTTTTTGTTTTGCAAATTTGTTGCCAATGATGATTTGCTAAAAAAAATATTGACATTAATTTTTGTTTTCCTATTATCAAGGCACGTCGTTATGATTCCCGTACCACCATCTTCTCGCCCGAGGGCCGTTTGTACCAAGTAGAATATGCTATGGAGGCTATTTCACATGCCGGCACCTGTTTGGGTATTTTGGCTGAGGATGGTATCCTCTTGGCCGCCGAATGCCGCAACACCAACAAACTACTGGATCCCAGTATCTTTGCTGAGAAAATCTATAAGCTAAACGATAACATGGTATGTTCCGTAGCTGGTATTACATCGGATGCCAATGTCTTGACCAATGAATTGCGCATCATTGCTCAACGTTATCAATTCAGTTACGGCGAATCCATGCCCTGTGAACAATTGGTATCTTATTTGTGTGACATCAAACAGGCCTATACCCAGTACGGTGGCAAACGACCATTCGGTGTATCCATTCTTTATATGGGTTGGGATAAACACTATGGTTATCAGCTGTATCAATCGGATCCCAGTGGTAACTATGGTGGCTGGAAGGCAACATGTATTGGTAATAATTTCGGTGCAGCCATTTCACAACTGAAGCAGGAACTGAGCGAAAATGAAAAAATTACTTTGGATCAGGCTAAAGATTTGGCCGTTAAGGTTTTGAGTAAAACTTTGGATACCACCAAATTGACTTCAGAGAAAATTGAAATGGCCACGCTTCAGAGGGTAAACGACAAGACAGAAATTAAAATTCTCACTAAACCTGATGTTGAAAAGCTAATTGAGAAATACAACAAATTAGAAGCAGAGGCCGAGGCTGCCAAGAAGGAAAAACAAGCTGCCCAAAAACCCTAAATTGTAAATGTCGGAAAAGTAAATTATAATTTTGTAATTTTTCTAAATGGGATTTTAATTTTAAGAGATTTTCTTTAAAGGAAATAAAATTTCTGTAAAATGTTATGGAATGGATTTAGAATTTTGAGATAAATCGAAAATTCCCAGAAAAGGTTTACTTTAAACAAAAAAGGTCTCTTGCTTAGTTAGGATCTCATAGGATTTATTGTGGAATCAACACATCCTCGCTTAATGTTATAAATCGGAACAAAAGCGTTCCACATTCCTCAGGTATCCTGTGATATTAGTATTACTTCTACATTATTTTAAGAGATTTTCTTTTGGGGGAAATAAATTGTCTGAGACGGAGTTAGTAATTTGAGATTGATGATATATTTTGTTGAAAATGTATCATTACCATAAAATGTAGGATCCGGAAAAGTATTTAATTTAAAAAGAAAAGTATACTCAGAGGTTTTACAGTAGAAACAATATTTCCTCGATTGTTGTTACAAATCAAGCATCCTGTACTTTAAATAGAGCTTTACAACAACTAACCTTGTATGAGCATGGCTCTGGAAATATAGATTTTTTTAACCGCCTAACAGGTGGAAAATTTTTCCGGGCATAAATATGTTATAAAAAGCTATTTTATATAGAATACCTTTAATTGGACTTTTAAAGGTAGAAGTTCTTTAAGACCTTGATCTTAAGATGGCCTACAAAAGGCACTTTATAAATAGAAGACATTCATATCCATGCATAGTTTTGTAGGTATAGAACGTCTAATATTTCTTCTATAAGCAGACGCTGTGGAAGCAAATATAAGTATTTTTACCATTGAATTAGGAATGTTGTCATTTTAAAGTATTCAACAATTATACTGAAAACACTAAACACTGATCACAAAATATAGTTTAAAAAACCGAAAAGTCAATATTTATGACCATTTCAAAATATTCAATTATTCATGCTTCTGCAAATCTGTAATTGAGATGTATTTCTGAAGATAAAAAAAATATTTGAAAGAATCTCTGTACATAAAAAATAGTAAAGAGGTATTTTGCAGATTTGTTATTCTATAGACCAAAGGTCTTTAAAACATATGTATAGACGGGAGACATTTTTTTATAAAAATAATACATTTGAATACTCCTTCATTTTTTTTCTAAAAAGCGAATTGAATTCTATCACAATGTGCGATCATTCCTTGCAATCTTCTGTTGAGTGATGTGTCAGAGTCTTGAATTATAAATTGTGAACGCCGTTACAGCAATTTTTTAGGAATCTATAGTCGAGATTAATAATAATTATTTATCGACTATCGAGGGCTTGTATAGCTCATTTTAATAGCCCGTGTCCACATTGAAGAATTTTCAGTGATTGTGTTCCAGAACCTGCTAATTAGGGTTACTTCCTTCAATACCACATAGAAAAATTAGATTATCGTAGTAAAAACGTTTTGGTTGTTGTTGTTCCAGAACCTGCAGAAATTCATTGTACAATGAAAAGATAGAAAATAATGAAAGTTCTACGTTTCTTTTCATAATTATGTTCTATATTTTTCTAAAGATTTAGTTCGCTACAAAAAGCTTAATTTTTGTCCATACATACGTTGAAATCCGCATTTTCATTACAAACATGACACAATAAGAAAGGTAGCTCAACTTCGAAGAAACAAGGAAAATGCAGCTCTGTTCCGGAGTCTTATAGTGTCAGATATATTTTTAAACATGCAACAAATGGTTTTGTTTATTTTCCTTTTTTTTACAAAATTACTATATTGGAGAAAAATATAAATGAAATATTGGATTTTCTCCACAAAATTGAATCCAAGATAGAGAGACAATGTTGTTTCATCCCAAAATAATACATTTTGTTGTCCGATAACGTGGGAAATATGCATTTTTGTTGCATCTAAATTTAAAATTATTTTCTTTTTAAGTCAAAGCAATACCCAACTTGACTAGGGGCACCAAAATAAATTGTAATTAGAGGGTAGCTTTGTTCTACTTTCCGTAATTGTGCCATGATTACAACTGAATTTGAATATTTTCTCAATAATTTTCATATCCACATGCACAAATTTATTTGGCATGCTAGGCCAGGAAAATAAAAAAAATGTAAAATCGATTAGTATAAGTGCCCTACCTTGATTTCATTGTCCATGGTTAAGATCATATAAATAAATGAAAAAAAAAACTGGTTGCATATAATTTTGAATTATACTTACAGCAAGCGGGCATAGCCTCAGAGCTGCATTTTGGTAGTTTTATAAAGCTGTTCTACCTCCTTATTATACCATGGTTTTGCCATAAAAGCCATATTTTTTGAGATGATAATAATATTAATGTACTAATTTTCCAATCCGTTAACAGGCCGGGAGAACAAACCGGAAAGAAAAGTGATTTTTACTCAGCCAAGTTTGTCTACTAAGTAGTAGTAAAAGGGATGTCATGTCTGAAAGTTTTAATAGCTTCTTTATGCTCTGTTCCAGAACCTGCAAGAATCTACTAGTTTTGCAATTTTTTCCGATATTATAAAGGGAAAATCAGTTATCTTTTTAAAAACTTTTACATTCTTGCAGTTCTGGAACAGACCAATTTTTGCTACCAATCGGGGGAAATCTCTTATGATATCGAAAAATTGTGAAACTAGTAGACTTCTGCTGTTTCTGGAACATTGAAATGTGTCTTGAGTACGGAAAATGCACACCGAAATATAAAAGTTTGTAATTGTATTCGTTTTGCAATATTTTCTATATCATAAATGGAAATCGGTTATAATAGGTTATATAGTATAAACTTTCACATCCATGCAGTTCTGGGACATGTCAATTAATATAAAATCCTAACGACAATAACATTACAATTATGTAAGTGATTGTGGTTCTTTTTAAATGTATTAATTCTTCTGATAATTAGTTTTCTTTACACTCTGGTGTACATTAGTTTTTATAGGAGCCCAGCAAATTTTGCAAATGTACAGTAATAATTTTCATCATCCAAAAACAACGTAAAAATCGATAGCTAGATTTTCTTTAACGACATTTTAGTTTATAGAAAAAGGCGATTAATCGGTTGTCTCAAAGTCGACTTCGGTAACCCTAAAAAACGAACGACGAAGAAGAATAGTAAAGGAGAATTGAATTCGTGTGTGCAGTCATTAAAAGCGCGTAAATTTCTCGATAAATCATAGTTATTTTAATAAATACAATTTAAATAAATATATTTCAATGAAATATATAACCGAGAGTGTGCGGAACACATAAAAATGCATGTGTATTACAAGAAAATCGCTGCGAAATAGCCAAATCATTGCTACAACGCGACGGTTCTGCAAAAAAACACGAAGAAATCCAATCGACGAATGGCCGTTTTCGCTCTGGTCTTTTTTAAAAAATAGTGCCACAGCGCACAATAGCGATGCAAGCAAAGGTGGCAAGAAGAATTAAAAGAAAATATCGAGCAGAAATTCATATATTTTATGTCAAAAACAAGTGAAAAATAGCAACAAAAAGCTTTGGGCCCCAACACAATTTATGCAACTCGAAACACACATCCAACCGCACACACACAAATCATGTGTGGCAGTAGTGCAGCAGCAGTCAGTAGTGAATTGTGTGGTGTGGTGGTAGTGTAGATGATGATGATGTAGAAAGAAAAAAAAATTGTTAATAGTTTGAGAAGCCCCCTGAAATACAAAAAATAATTCACAAAATACCAAAGAGATAGTCGTAGTGGTGGTGGTATATTTGTAACCAGAAAAAAGAAAATAAAACGAAAAAGAAACGTGAAAATAGCTGCTGCTACTATTGTGTAAATGTGGTGTTCTATAAAGAAATCAAAAATCAACAGCAAAAAGTGAAAAATTCATTGCATGTTGCCCAAAAAATGTGTGTACATCTAAAAACGACGACTGGAATTAAATTGGAAATATTTTTAATTTAGAAATGTGAAAATTCCGAAAGGAAACAAGAGAATCTACTACCCGAGAAGAGAGGATAACGCGTGTAAAAGGAAATCCAAGATAAAAGTATAAGAAAAACACATAATTCACAAGAAAAGTCAATAATAAGAAAAATAGTATATTAAATCGTCGACAACCTCGACGAGCTACTAATAAGAGAAAGAAGAAGAGATATTCACAGACACACATTTACTTGTACAAAACGAATGTGAAAGAGAAAGAATAGCGCGCAATCGGCGGTTAACGTACCCCATCGTCGACAACGACATCACATAGCAGTACGAATGAAAAAATAGTAGTGGAAAGCAAGAAAATAAAAAACAAAAAAAAAAAGAAATACGAAATAAGAATACAAAAAAAGTAGCAGAGCGAGCTCTGCACAACGGCGACGATGACAACAATTTGCTATGTGTGTGAGAGAGCAAGTGAGATACAGTGATAGAATGTGAAGTGATGGTACGCTACAAATACGGCGAGTGTGAGTGCATGTGCGCTGGTGTGTGCTTATAACAACAACACCAACAATAAAAAAAAGCAAAAGAAGAATAAAAAAGATGCGAGTTTATTTGTGTGTTCTTCTACTCTCCATAAACGAACAAATAAATAAGAAAATGTGTGGTGATGTGGGCATTAAAAAACAAAAAGGAATAAACAGCATAGTGGTAAATAAAGAAAACAAAAAAGGAAAGCTATAAATTAAAACAACTACAACCATTCTGTTAACAAATGCTAAAATTAATATATAGTAGTAAAGAAGCAAATAATAAATAAAAAAGCATTGCACACACAACACTACCAAATTCATGCAATAAATAGTAACAGCAACAACAAAACATTACAAAAAAAAAACGAGAAGAATGTAAGAAGTAAAATAAAGTAAAGAAAGAAATTCTCAAATTCATAAAAGAAATCAAACAAATCAATCCGACCGACACACACACAAAATGGATACAACAAATACTGCGGCTGCGGCGTCTGCCGCCGATGTAGCAGCAACAACAAAAGCAAAACAATTGGATTTTAAAATACTGGTAATTAAAACTTATACGAATGGCATAATGAAAAAACAACAGAAACAGAAAAAACGCTAACAACCATTCATTTTCATTAAATTTTTTCGTTTCGTGTTTTTTTGGTTTGTATTTTTACCATATTCGTTCATTGTTCCATTCGTTGGCTCGCTCAAAACCTTTGGAAGACAACAAAGTCAAATGTTTCTTTTTTAAGGCCGGCGTTATTTAAGATGCGGCTTTCTTCGTTCTTCATTCGGGAAATATTTATTCAAAATAATGAAAAACTAATGAAACTGGAGTAATGAAAATATCTATCCAACGAGCGATGATGTGTTTATATTATATGACTTTTTTATAGAAATGACTTTATCTTTGGTTATAGAAATGGATGTATCCGCCCGATTTTTTTTATATAACTCAACCGTTGTTTTGGGCCAAAAAAGCGTTTACGCTTTCACATATTTAAGTCTACTTGGTACACATCCTAGATCAAGAAAAATCATTAACACAAAAACGAATCCACCTAAAGGTTCAAGTGTAAATTAATCCTAATCACTGGAATATTAATTATGAATCTACGGAATAACTTTCTTGTTGTTACAACACCAGAATAAAAGATCTATCGTAAATAATGGTAAAAATCGCAGCTAGGTCCACATTTTCGGCTTAACAAAGAAAGTCGGATCCATTTTCAGGCGCTTTTTAAAAATTGATTTTTATTGTGGGATGGTATCTGTTGATAGTTTCATCTTGTAACCACTTGTTGGATAGATATTCAGTAGGGGGTATTTTTCCTTGTTCTATATTATTAAGGATATAAGGATTAGAATGTGCAGATTCGTACAAAAATGGTATTTAACGCTAACAACCATTCTGTTAACAACTGTCCATAGGTGAAAGTCTTAAATTCCCAGCTAATCACTAAATCTTTGTTTTATAATCAGAGTTGTTTTATAACCAGAGTTGGGATCTGTTCAAAAGTGATAGTCTTAAAATATCAATCTAAGAAAGCCTTAGGTGGCGTAGCCGGTGTTGGACCCAGAAAAGAAAATTTCAAGCACCAGTACCAAACCGGCTAATTAAAAAAGTATCAAAATTAGAAATAAACATTGGGTCGTGCGGACGGTTTTAGACATACCCAGAGGAGAACATTTCAAACTCCGGCGGAAGGGTTTCAAATTTAGAAAACTTTGGTTCGCGTAGCCGGTGTTGATACCCATCTTGCATTGATTGGTCTTAAGAACACAGGAATTGTGGACTTCCCCAAGAAAAATAATATAATGTCGTCCAAAGGACAAAGGAGTAAGCAGCAAACCGTCCCTAGTTGTGGAGCAACCATGCCCATTTGCTAGGATTCGAGAACGCTATGATTGCCTTGCGGAATAGCGGTCCATCCAGTTGTTTTACCAATATTATATGAAGATGTCTCTAAAATTTTCTCTGCTACCCAAACATTTGAATTAAGGCCAACTTGAAAGAAAATGGAGCGTTCCTAGTATATGAAATCCGTAGATCTGCAGAAAAGGGACTTTTGGTTACTGTATTGGGTTGGGGTGGTCTGCGTTTAAGGATCGATTACTTCAAAGGGGCAATGTCACAGACAGTTGTTGCCTTCAAAAGAGTGTCAAAAATGGACAAATTATACAGTCGATGTCTGTCGATCAGCGAGGCACAATGACTGCAATTTTGCACTTGACTGTTACACATTCCTTGTATATGGATCACTCGAGACTAGGGCTAATCTCTTCCTCTGCTTTTGGCGCAACCCGTATGTTGTAACTACCACCACGTTATACGGAAAGCCCATAATATTCCTCAGATTCATAAAATCGACTATTCTATACATCATTGCAAAAATGTAACACAACAGAAGCAATGACTGTAATTAAAGTTTCTCAGATTCTTTACGATCCATACACCTACGTATTAGTTTTAAATATTTTGCCGAGTGTTGATGATCGATTTAGAAATGTCCGCGTTCTATGTAAACCTTTGTAGCCTAAAAACTGAATAAAATATGGTCAAATGTATTTAAAGTATGTCCACGTTCTGGTATATGAGTTATGTTACAGGAGGCGCAGCTACACTGAAGTCGACATGGAGACCATTGATTCTGGTATATAACGGATTTATACGATTTAAGGTATCTTCGAGGATTTTGTTATTTATTTAAACCTTTTGTAAACGAAACCTTATGAATTATAATGATTGCAATATGTACCTAGGAGAGGCATATTTTCCAATTTTCATTAGTTATCAATTGTTGGCGTTCAATGATTGAGGTTTTTTGTTATTCATATCCTTTTTTGTAGTTTATTTCATCAATGGAACATGACAAAGCTTTACTTTCTTCAAGCAAAGCGTACTATTTCGAAAGCTTGAGTTTTTCGAGGAACTTAAACAGATCTTAAGAAAATTCTCAAGATTTTTTTTTTGCAAAAGGGTAAAGTCCCCTTTAAGTACTCAAAACTTGGCTATGTTAACTCAAAACTTGGCTATGTTAACTCAAAACTTGGCTATATTAATAGTTTTTTTGTCGGGCTTTTTATGAATATCAGAAAACCCGACAACGCAAATTATTTGCAAATCTGTAACCAATTTTCGTCAAACCCTTCAAATTATACAAAAATGGGAAGCACCTTAAACGGAAACTATACAAAAAACTTGACATAAGCTGATAATTGTTCTAAGAAGAGATAATGGTCACCAGAAACCTAGAGTGGAATTCGGTTTTGTAGAAACTTGAATCAATAATCAACATCGAACGTACAGTTAGATGATTTTATATCAAAAGTTGGTCCATTTTCAAATCCTTAAAACCATCAAACACATTTTCAGCATTTGTAAATCATTAACAGAACAGAATATTTAGGGTAGTTGCAAACGGTCTGACAAAGGATGGTATTATGAATTAGTGAAGTTCAGACTACCTACCTCCACTTTAAAAATTTCACAAAGTTGCCCTGTTCCAGAATTTCCAAAAATCTAAAAATTTTTCTACGATTACCGATTTTTCCTTTATGACATCGAAAAAGTATAGTACTAACTAGCACTATTTTTAATGTTTTGAAACACACAGAATATACGGATGGACGTATTTATCGGCGGCTTACGATTCTTCACTTTCGGTATCGGCTTTGAAATCTTTGCTTCTTCTTCGTTTACTATACCGTTGCCTGTTTTTTTATTTTATATAATTGAGTTGTATTTAATTAAACATAATTAAGGAAGTAATCGCTATAATACATTGTAAATTATTCAACATCATGGTTGGTGGGTATGATGACGATGATGATATGTTTATGTTTGTTCGTCAGTCAGTCAGTCAGTCAGGCATTCATTCCGTTTGCCCGTTCGCCTGTTTATTGGTGGTTTGTCTATCTGACGGCGTTGTTGATACCTTAATTCCAATTTTGCTGCTCTTCTTCTTCATCGTCGACATCGTTGTCGTTGTTGTCGGTTGGGGGGTTATTTGAGGCGCGCTCTACTTGCACTGTGTGTTTTTTATTTATTTTGTTTTCTTTTTTCTATTCGTTTCATTGTGTATTGCTATGTGATGGGAACGGGGCACAGAGTAGGCAGCGAGTTGCGTGTATGTGTTTGTTGTTTTTGGTGTGCATGCGAATGTGTGTTTTCGGGCAACATAGCATCGGTGCGTGTGTGTGTGTGTGGCGCGCTTGTATGTATGTTAGTGGAAAGAGGAGGAGTACAGTTAAGATAAATGTTGTTGAAAACAACAAAAACAAAAAAAAAAAAAACAAGAACAAAAGAAGAAACAAATCTTAATTAAATGGATCGCATTTGTTCGTCCGTCCGTCTGTTAGCTTGCTCGCCCGTTCCTACATCCCTCCATTCGTTGCCACTATTTTATTATTGTTTTTCTTTTTTTTTTGTTTACAACGTTTATCTAATTTACTCTTTATTTTACGATAGCTGGTATTTGGGACATCGTTTAGAACCAGTATTTTTATTCGTTGCGCTTTTTTTTATTGGATATGAGAAAATACTTGTTTTGTTGTCGTTGTTGTTAATGTTGAATAAAGAAAATATTGATGTTTTTACGCGATGGCCATGGCGAAAATGTAAACAAACAACTATGACATTTTATTAAATGATTTAAGTTTTATGTTTTACAGGAATTTTTAAAACTTATTTTGCTAGGAGAAAGTGGATCTGGTTAAAAAACGGAGGTTAGTAAGCATCTAGGTATTTTAGTGTTTGCAGAATGGACCTGGTAATATAATTTCTATTTTCTTTGTCTTTAAATCCTTAAAATAGTGGATCTATAAGTTTTTAAGGAGAAGATATTCAATCAGGTTACCCTCCCTATTTGGCCCGAAATGTCGGCTTGCCTATTTTCTCTGGCAAATTTCTTTGACGATTATATAGGTATAACTCTGGAACCGTTTAGTTCTCAAAATAACCTGCAATTTTTGATTCAAAGGATACTAGAAATCAAATTTCTAACAATTCCGTTGAAAATGTAGCTACTTATCATCAAAATACCAAATGTAAAGGGCTACCGCTACATGGGCTAATACAAATACGTGGCTAAGTGGTTTGTATACATTAAGAATATCAAATGCCAAAATTAAAAAAAAAAATTGCGGTGGAAAATTTTGCAACAATCATCAGAATAAAGAGGTATAAGAAAACTTGGCCATTTATACCCTATTTTTTAATACAATTAACATTTCAGGCGTAACATTTTAGCCATTTTGGTCGATCCCTTAAAGTGATTACTACATACGGACACGTTGACATCGTCTTAAACTTTTTTTTACTTTTATGAAGAAAATATGTACTTTGTTGGTTCTTAAATAGCTACTTCGATAAGTTACAAATGAAATGACTAACTTAATATACCCTCCATAATATGATAAAAAAAATTTTAGAATCGGACGAAATTGCTGTGTTATTGTATCCTCCACCATACTAGGGAGGGTATATTAACTTTATCATTCCATTTTAACTTTGTCATTCCATTTGTAACTCCTCGAAATACTCATGCAAGACCC